ATTTTACTAAAATATATAGCTATATAATTAAAAAAAACCTAGCACCTAAGAAAGTAAAAACTGAATATCATCCTATAACCTCATTAAACTCATAGCTATACTATTTCTCACCACTTCCATTTCATTGACTCTTCCATCCTGTTCCCCTCCAGTTACGTACATATCACTATCAAAATCTAAATTTTCTAAACATGAATTGTCGTCAAAATAATGAAAATGTCGATCATGTATTCTTTGCCTTCTAATAAAATTGTGCAATGCTATCGTTGCAATAACTATGTCCCTCTGTATTTCAAACCCATAGCTTGGCATTGAATTTAAGATCTTCCATTTTTCCTTCCAAACACCAAAAATTCGTTCTATCACACGTCTAAGTGAAGAGTGAGCATAATTAAAAACTTCTTAAAAACTAGATGGTCCACGTATTCGAAACCTTGGAAGATGATATTTTTGACCTCTATATGGCCCTAAATATCCTTTCTTTTATGCATATCCAGAATCAAGAAGATAATATTTTCCTTAAAAAAAAGTATTTGGTCAATTTATTTGTTGTTTATAAATAAATATTAACAAGTTAACTAATTCAAAATGTAATCACTTGAGAAAATTGGAGAAAATGAATAGGTCAATCTCATACCTTCGAGAGAATGAGGGAAGTTACAATTAGGATCATTAATTGCTTTACAAAAAATGGATGCATCATGGCATTTTTCACCAAAAAATCCAGCATATGCATAAGTAAACTGCATGTCAAAGCTACAAACAGCCATTATATTTTGAGTTGGAATCCCTTTTCTACCAATAAATTGAACTTGTTTCTCATTTGATACCACTACTTATATGTGAACTCCATCAATAGCACCAATGCAATCCCAAAATGAGGATGAAATTTCAAGCATCTTACATAAGCAACATGACTTCGAATACATATGTATAAAATATCTAATACTACCTTAAAATGAGGCCAATATCTTTGATCACTACGGATTTTATCAGGAGTATCTTAAAATTATCTATCAACTAGTGCTACTATATCAGTAGCCATCGAAAGAACCTTTTTGAGTATAAAATGAAAATGTTGACTCACAGTCTCCCCTAAATGTTGAAAATGCTCTTGTACATCTCTATTACTAGCACCTTGTCCTAATGTATACAAAAACATTTCTAGCATCTCAGTAGTTCCCTTGTGCCCTGGAGGTTATATCTTGTTTCAAGCTCACGCAACAATAAGAAAAAAGTATCTTTTGTCATCCTAAACATATTAAAACATCTTGCTTCGTGGCCTTGAAAAATATCCCTCAACCATTTTTCACCAGTTCGGTGAGATATCATACATGGTTGTTTTTAAATATATGTATTAGCATAAATCTCAATCAAGCAAGCACTAATAAAAAAAGATAAAATCAAACTCAAGCTCATTATTAGAATCTATTTCTGACATAATTCCTGTAATGGAACATGAATACATGTTTAGTAAAAACAAGAGTAATAGGTTTCATTACAAAAAAAAAAAAAAAAAAGTACTAGTTTTCATCATCTTCAAATGACATACAATATAATAATTTTATTCTGGAAAGAAATTTGTATCTAAAGGACATATTGGAATTAATCAAAGTTCTAAATCAATGAACTATTAAACATTTAAACATCTAAAAAATAACAAAATAATGTATTTGCCTAATCATACATGATTCCATCATCTTTCGCCTAATCTTTAAGCCACACTAACCGAACTTCAGGCTTTAGAGTAAAAAAACACCTCTCGCATTTCTTTGACACAAAAGAGCTTCCTTATGACAAACATATACAACTTTCCACTTATTTGTATATCATTCATATTATCCAATACTTTTATCACTTCAGGTACAGTATGGCCATGTGAATATTTCATCTTTAAAGCTACAGAACTCCTACTCTCAAGTAAATTGCAAAAACGATCAATTTAACTAGATAGTTTTCCAATACCTTCATTTTTCCTAGCATTGTTTCATAAGTTTCACCAGTCTTTCTCTTTTTGTTTTTATTACCATTGTTGTGTTGAAGATGACTAGAAGGTTTGCACTTATTAATATCAACATTTTCTGAATCATTCTCACTTGAATTCCCACTCATATCATTTAAAGTCTCAATTGCATTCAAGTCACTTTTTGGTGGAAGAGTTCCTAAAAAAGGTGTATAAGTAGAATCAAGTTCAAGAATAGCTCCACTAAACATCTCTTGGTACCTTTCTTCCAACTCAAGTTCTATTTCACAAAGTCTAAATTTCTTGATTTTAGAGTTTTCCTACACAATAGTAACAATTTATTAATGAGTAAAGAGATATTAAATTAAAATAGTTAATTATAAGACATTATGTTTAAACTAACCTTTTCTCTCGCATCCCACCATTCTTTAGGGGCAGCAATAGTTTTCCTCACAAGATCATACCCAAGATCAATAGCCTTCATCTTAAGAAAATTCCAATTTTTATAATCATCCTTCAAATTATCCCACTTGTTTTTAAGTTGTTTGTATCTATATCTAACTCTTGTTTCCTTGAAAAGGTCATCTTCCAAAGTTGTCCAACCTTGTTTTGTGAAGTGAGTTCTTGGATGATTCCTAAGCTTTTATGTTTCATGCATAAAGCAATAAACTTGTTTACAACATGCTAAGGCCAAGTTGTCTTTCCATGGGATTCTGTTTCATTTGTATCAACCATCTCTAGTAATGCATAAAAAGACAAAGAAAATATAAATAGATAAACATCACTTTAAGAACTAAAAGAAAGACAAGAAATCAATTCATCAATCCATATTCATATAATAATCTTGCATGTTTGCAATCCTTAAGATCTGGCATGGTAATATCCCATAATAATCATAAAATCAAACTAATAGAAAATATAAAATCAAACTCAAGCCTTTCACTGTACACAAACTTGGAATTGAGGCACACAGTATAAGGTGATTGATGAATTGACAACATTTACTAATGTGGTGGGTCTCAAAGACAAAACATGTACTTGTAGGAAGTAGCGAACCTCAAGAATTCCATGTCCACATGTATTATGTAGTTACAAATCTAATGGTTGGAATCTTGAATACTTTGTTGATGATTGTTATAAGAAGGAGCATATTTGGCAGTGTATGGCATAGCATTAGAGTGCATAAAAGGTGAAGAAGCTTGGAAAAAATATAACATTGAAAATTTATTGCCACTAGATATGAAGCCATTACTAGGACAACCCAAGAAAAATAGAAAAAAGACAAACATGAGCCAAAGAAGGTTAAGAAGGGGAAAAACCAAAGTACAATGTCCAAACATGGTAGGGTCATGAGTTGTATAATCTATGGAGGGAAGAATCATAACAAGCGAGGCTACCCTCTAAAAGAAAATGATCCAACAATTGTTAAAGGAGTTACAACAATTCAATGTTGGAACTCAAGAAAGTGTAAGTTAATTGCCTTCCTTTAATACTGTTTTAATTATTTACTAATGCATGTCTTCTTATTGGTTCAAGATTGCTGTCAGACAATCACAAAAGGGAAAAAAGAAAGTAGCTAGTTCAAAGACAAAGTTAAAAGGAGGGAAGAAAAGTTTAACTAAAGTGACATTTAATCTTGTTATGGTAATTTAATAATAATGACTCATTATTTTATATTTTTTATTTGAAAACTTAAATAACCATGTTATGACCAATATTTTTTTTATAGTTTGGGATAACAATTAGAGAAGTGCAATTTGTTGAGGTTCAAACCTTCTACAAATACAAAGCAAGGGACAAGTGGATCATCTTCCAAGAAATGGAAAGAAAAAGTTGTTTGAGTACTTGACTTTGTGATATATGGTAGTCAATTTGCCTTATCCTATCTACTTTTTGTGTTGTATAGCATGCAATGATCTTGACTTAACTTTAGTACACCTATATATAGCTATATATATAGTTAGTTATGTATGGTTGGTCTATTTTGGCATTAACAGTGTGTATCTTACTTATATTATAAATTCATAATAACCTATTAACTTTGCTATGCAATTAATTGCTAAAAATCAATGGAATGCAGATTGATTTACTGTATAATCGTTGGTTTCTTTTGGGATTAACATGTATTTTGCTTATGTTATAGAGGTAAAGTAGCCAATTAACTTTGCTATGTAATTGATTGCCAAAAATCAATGGAATGCAAATTGGTTTACTATATATTTTGCTTTGTTTATTTGTCTATTGTTTTAAATGGTAAATTTGTTTGCTATGAATGAATGGAAACATAGATAGATTTCTTAAAAAAATGGTATTTTTATAACATTGCTAATTGCCAAAATACATACATTGATAGCCTACATCACATTCAGTGAACTTTATGCTTCATTACAAATGCAACTAACATTGCAATGACAAAACCTGAGAGGCTTCCTCTCCACAAGGCATGATAAGGGACAATATTTCCCAAACTCCCCTGCAAATTGTCTTGCAAAACTGAGACTTTGTTGTCTAATTCATGGAGAGCACCTTTCATCTCAATCAATTCTAAGATAGTCTCAAAAACTAAACCTCTTCAATTACTTGGCTACAACATAATTCTTCCCTTAAGTGAGTTATTTTCTTCCAAAAGCTATCCTTTTCATTCATCAAAAACTTTTTCTATTCACTTAAAGCAAAAATCACTTCATGAGGCCTTTTCTTGTTCCACATGTCATGCCATTCAAAGAAATTACAAAACTTCACTTTCCCTTTTGCATTAGCTCTCTAACCCTATTTTTTGCATACACTTAGTCCAATAAAAAAGGAAAAACCACTTATTCAAATAGAATAGAAAATGGTTTAATAGACACATACCTTTTTTTTTTTTTTTCAAAAACCAATTTAGGCAACCATAGAACCTTTGTCCAACTTTACCCTCCATCTGCACAATTCAATGAGGACCATTTAAACCACAATTGCAATACCTTTACTTCTCTTCATATGCGATCTCCATGCTTCCCCATTCTTCAACTGATGATGGAGAAAAAATGGATTGGTATGAGGTTGAAGATGACTTCTTTATGGTCCAAATCACCTTAAACTCAAATCAAAATAAAGGGAAAGTAAATCAAGTAAGGCTAGAAGGAATTGAAATGAAAAGAAGTAAATCAAAACAGAGGGAAAGTTGTAATTGAGTTTAGGGTGAGATAGAAATCCTAAATTCCCAATTTTGTTTGTTCTGGTAAAGGTTTTTTTGGTCAAAACATTACTTTGCCATGCTAACTAACCTAGGTGAAATGAATTAATCCATGTCAACACCCAATCAACTCCCAACCAGTGCCAGTTCCTCGCTTTAATGGGCAATGGAAGGGATTAATGGCTGGATGACATCATTTTCACTAAAAGGGCTATTTTGCGGATGTCATGAAGTAAAGGGGCTGACTTGCCATGGTTTAAAGTATAGGTGCTGATCTGCCACAGCATTACAAGTACAGGAGCCTGAATTGCACCTTCTGCCTTTTCTTATCGAAGATAATGTTTAGCACGGAGTTTCATTTGTTCTTCTGACATGGATTTCCTAATATCCATGCCAGCTCCTAAGTTAAA